TCCGAACCAGGGACAACCCACCACTGACCTCAATGGAGCCCAACATTTTTGATGCTAAACGAGACATTTGTGAAGTGAGTTTTTCTCCGTTTTACGACCTTTCTTGCCAATGTTGGGAAGCAAATCACTGCTGTTGTTAACTGAGTAACAGGGTTGTCAAGTGAATCTGGCTTCCCTATGGACTTTCATTGTCCATAAAATAAAATCTAAAATGAAATACTGTCATCTTTCTACTTTTCCATTTTTCTAGTATGAACATCTCAGCACCTAAAATCATTTGGATTTTAGATGCAGGTGGCCCTCAACTTACAACAGTTCATTTAGTGACCATTTAAAGTTACAACAGCGCTGGAAAAACAGTGAGCTGAGGACCATTTTTCACACTTACGACCGTTGCAGCAGCCCCCACAGTCACTGATCAAAATTTCAGATGGTTGACAACTCATTCATACGTATGACTATTGCATCGTTCCAAGGTCACCGGATCCCCCTTTTGCAACCTTCTGACCTTCTGAGTGGTGGTATTCAGCCGGTTGTATCCGGATCCGGCGAACCGATAGCAGCGGCTGCGGGAGGCTCTGCACACTTGCCTGGACGTCATCACTGTTGTGACCCAGGCCCAAGTAGTTAGTATTAAATACAAATAGTTCGAAAACAAACAGACTTTATTAGAAAAGCGGAGAATTAACTCATTCTCAGCGTAGTTCAAACTAAATTAAAGCAAATTCTTCAAAACACCATTCCTCAGTTTGTCACCGACCTTGGGATAATTAGGCAAACTGCCAAAGGCTTTTCTTGGCAAAAGTTCAGAAGCAGAAGACGCCGACAAGAAATGAATACAGTGAAACAAGAAGCAATTTTCTCAACGTTGTTTTCCGGCAAAGAGGCCAAGAGCCATTGCTTGTCTTTTAAGCTTTATGGGAGGGGCCAATAATATCTTGGCCCTACTCCCGAGTCGTCCTCTCTGCTTTATCTGCTCCTGCCTTCTGGCAGCTCTTCTCATACGTGCACTAGGAATAGGCTCTTCCTGTTCCTCTGCTTCTCTGCTATCAGCCTCTGGAGGCTCCGAAGTCTGCACATCACTTCCCGATGGCCCTGGCCCCATCTCTGTCTCTGACACAGAGCCCTCATCGGGGCCTTCCCCAGCCTCCAGGACTGGCCCATGTTCTTCCTCACCCTCATCGCTGTCCGACTCCACTGCCAGCTCCGCAGACTGCTGGTGGACCACAACAATCATGTCCCATTTTTAATACTCAGCGCATGCGCAGAAGGGCCTGCCCATGAGTGGAGATGGCACATGCACTCACATTTGCGAACCAGTAGCACAGGTAAGTGAATACCATCCCTGTTCTGACTAGCAAAGTCCATCGGCAAGCCGGATTCACTTAACAATTATGCCACTAATTTATCCGGTGCAGTCATTCACTTAACCACTGTGGCCAGAAAAATTGTAAAATGGAGCAAAACTCGCTTAACCACAGAAATTGCTGGTCTCAATTGCGGTCGTAAGCCGAGGTCTACCTGCATCACTTTTCAGGGAGAGAAGGGAAATGCATTGTGGTTTTTCAAAGGTGTTGTGAATCCATTTCAACAAGGGATGGGTGATGTCTGGGTTAAAAACAGAGAAACTTCCCTTGACCTATTGCTGGAACTTGATACTCCGAGCAGAGTAGATTACTATTTATATCCTTCTGTAGGGCAGGAGTTAAGGCTGTCTGTCTCCTTGAAATACTAACTGTTGCCAGCCAGTCTACAAAATGTGCAGCATTCCGAACCCAGAAGAATTATGAGCCCTCTCCCCATCTCTCCTCCTCCTTCTGTGCCTCCACAAATACTGTACCTGTGCATTTTGTTTTTCTTGCCTAAAAAAAAGGTTCTACATATGCAGCCAGCAATTTAACTACCGGTTAGCCTGAACCGGCTGAATCCCACCACTGCCTAATAGCTGTTAAGGTAACGTCTGAGTACATAGGCAGTTCCGAGTAAGGTGGTTTTTTTTTTGTTTTTTTTTTTGGTGCAAAGTCAGAATATTAAGATCTGATAAGTTCAAAATGTCCATGTATCTAAGATGCCCTTTGAATATTGCTCCAAGGGCTCCTATTACTCTTGGTACAACCATTGGTTTCTTCTTCCACAATCGTTCAACTTCAGTTTGCAAGTCACAATATTTTATTTTTTTTCTAGCTGTTTCTCTTCAATTCCTGCATCGGCTGGTATTGCAATATCTGTGAACCAGACTTTTTGCTCTTTTCAAACACCTTTCCAGGTGTTTGAGAAGAGCAATTTAGAGTAGAGAAGCACGAAAACAAGTAGGATCGAACTTCCACGTGGGCTAAACATTTACGAAGACTCGGGAAGAGAGGCAATTTGCAGAGGAATCAACAACTTTTAGAGAGGGAATCCCAGTTATAAAAACTCAAATTGTAGGTACAGTAGAATTGTGTGAATGTTGAGTTATGAACATTACTGAACCAGTTAGGAGATTTAGTGGGGGCGTGGAAGGAAGGAAGGAAGGAAGGAAGGAAGGAAGGAAGGAAGGAAGGAAAAGAAAGGAGAAAGAAGAATGGGGAGGGAGGGAATGAGGGAGGATGGAAGGAAGGAAAGAAGGAAGGGAGGAAGGAAGGGAGGAGAAAGAAGTATGGGGAGAGAAGGAAGGAGGGAGGGAGGGAGGGAGGAGGGATGAAAGGAAGGGAGGGAGGGAGGAAGGAAGGAGAAAGAAGTATGGAGAGAGAAGGAGAGAGGGAAGAAGGTAGGAAGGTAGGAAGGAGGAAGGAGAAAGAAGTAAGGAGAGGGTGGGAGGGTGGGAAGGAGGGAGGATGAAAGGAAAGAAGGAGAGAGGAAGAAAGGAGAAAGAAGTATGGGGAGGGAGGGAGGGAAGGAAGGAAGGAATGAGAAAGAAGCATAGGGACCGAGGGAGGATGGATAGATGGATGGATGGATGGAAGGAAGGAAGGAAGGAAAAGGAAGGAGAAAGAAGAATGGGGAGGGAGGGTGGATGGAAGGAATGAAGGAGAAAGGAGTTTGGGGAGGGAGGGAACGAGGGAGGATGGAAGGAAGGAAGGAAGGAAGGAAGGGAGGAGAAAGAAGTATGGGGAGAGAAGGAAGGAGGGAGGGAGGAAGGGAGGGAGGAGGGATGGAAGGGAGGGAGGGAGGAAGGAAGGAGAAAGAAGTATGGGGAGAGAAGGAGAGAGGGAAGAAGGTAGGAAGGAGAAAAAAGTAAGGGGAGGGAGGGTGGGAAGGAGGGAGGATGAAAGGAAGGGAGGGAGGGAGGAAGAAAGGAGAAAGAAGTATGGGGAGGGAGGGAAGGAAGGAAGGAATGAGAAAGAAGCATAGGGACGGAGGGAGGGAAGGAGGGAGGATGGATGATGGATGGAGGGAAGGATGGAAGGAAGGAAGGAAGGAAGGAAGGAAGGAAGGAAGGAAGGAAGGAAGGAAGGAAGGAAGGAAAAAGGAGAATGGGGAGGGAGGGAGGATGGAATGAGGAAGGAAGGAAGGAAATAAATATTTGATTTACACAGTTCCTAGTCCCCATTTCATTAGCCTTATTCAGGCACTTTGAAAGGGGAACTGCACACTTTCTTGATTGTCTCCACTAAATTCGTTACAGATTGTGTGGCTCCAGCAGACATCTACATCTTCAGCACAGATGTATAGAAGACGTTGATGTCCTCTGTGCAATATCAGCATGGAGAGACCCATCAGGACCAGGGATGTGATGACTATTTCTACTTTTATAATGTCCTCATAGGCCAAGCATGAAAAACGTGGGTGGGGGTTGGATGCGCACACACGGGAAGCTTACATGGACATGTCAAATTTCAACAAAAGGAAATATTTGTAGCTCAGGGTGTGAAGTGTGGAGTCTCACTGCTCTCTGATGATGTTACCTAGCTGGGTATTGAAACGTCTGCAAGAAAACAACCAAACTCAGAGAGCACTCCACAAATCTTAGATTTCCCTTTGGATGACAGCTTAATGAAGCGATTGAGAACACAACGAAATCAGATTTAGATTTGAAAGGATGTAAGGATTGATTCCCAGACTGCTCTAAATACAGGAGACTATTACATAAACAGCCAGCTGCCTGTTTCTCTTGATATTATTAAAAAAAACCCAGGAATTTTAAGAAGGTAATTAAAAAGAAACTAAAAAAAAACAAAAAAACAACCCTGTGTCCTAATGTATTGTGGAGAAATTGGATTTAAATGGGAAATATTCAGTTGTTGCAATTCTTGGAAGCAAAAGACACTCTTCTCAATAAATCTAGATCTTTTTCTATCCATTTTAAAGAGCCCAAGGTAAAGGTAAAGGTTCCCCTCACACATATGTGCTAGTCATTCCCGACTCTGGGGGGCAGTGCTCATCTCTGTTTCAAAGCTGAAGAGCCAGCGCTGTCCGAAGACGTCTCCGTGGTCATGTGGCCGGCATGACTCAATGCCAAAGGCGCACGGAACGCTGTTACCTTCCCACCAAAGGTGGTTCCTATTTTTCTACTTGCATTTTTTACGTGCTTTCGAACTGCTAGGTGGGCAGAAGCTGGGACAAGGAACGGGAGCTCACCCCGTTACACGGCACTAGGGATTCGAACCGCTGAACTGCCGACCTTTCGATCGACAAGCTCAGCGTCTTAGCCACTGAGCCAATTTGTCCAAATAAAAGAAAGAAATCGTGAAACTTCAACTTTAAAATGTGCATTGGTGCTAAATAGGAAATTGTCAAGTTGTGACCCCAATCGTTTGGTTTTTTTTTTTTTTTTTCATCTCAGTAAATCTTGCTAAACAAAACAGAGTGAAAACCTTGTTTGCAAACACTGTTTTAGGTTGGAGGCAGCTGCCAAGAAACCTAACAAAAACCTAACGACCAAGAAGAAGTAGAAATGTATCTGACAACTACCATCACAATAAGGGATTTGACACAAACTCCTTATGACACATTTTGCTGTAACTGTTTGGGAACTCCAATTCCCACCGCCCACCCCCAACGAGATATCTTTAATTTACCTGTTTTATGCACTGCAGTCGGTCATTAGTTTGCTGTATGTGTCTGTCCATAGAATTCATTGCGATTGTCTCCACTTCAGTTCTACCTGAAAGCCATTAAAATCCCTCAAGCTGTAAGATACGAAAATAAAAACAAAAAAAAAAAAAAAAAAAAAACAAAATTAATCACTAATGGACAAGTAAGTTACAATTCTGCAAAAGTCTAATTGTGATTAAACTCTTGAATGTTACCGCTTTTTAAATGGGAAAATTTTTTGTCCCTTTTATCTATTTCGTAAGTCAACAGAGCAATAAGGATATAGGAGCAGCTAGTTATATTAAGTATATTTTATATATTTTGGGAAGAGTGTCTTTTCCCAGTTTGAGCCTAAATCTTCCGGTCGTTATATAACTACAATCTTTCTCCATTTCACTCTAAAACATTTTTCTTTGTCCTTATTTCTTCCCTAACCTAAAATTTGTTCTTTTACTAGGTTGGTGACAAAAAGACTTTTTATAGGATGAAACTCGGAGCAAAACATTTAATATGATGAAACCCATGTACGATGTATAGTTGTTATACATCGTGAAATCCCATTGAAGCAATATGTGTTTTCTTAGGCCCACAAAGATAATTTTAATTCTACCTGAACTAAGCTTAAATCAACGTTCATCTAACACAGACATTGAGGTTAAACAGGTGCATGTGATTGCAACTTTCCTAGCCAGCTTTCAATAAGTAAAGTCAATGGGGGAAGTTTGATTCGCTTAACAACTGCGCCTGACCAGGAGACAGGGAGTTCTAATCCCACCTTAACCATGAAAGCCAGCTGGGTGACTTCGGGCCAGTTCCCTCTCTCTCTCAACCCAAACCACCTCACAGGGTTGTTGTGGGGAAACGTATGAGGAGGGATGAATATTTTGTGTATTTGCCCCCCTTGAGCTACTTATTAAAAAATAAGAAAGGCAAGATATGAAATAAGAAAATAAAGAAAATAAAACGAGCCACCCTAGAAAGAGGGAAGTATAGAAAGCTGCTTTTGAACCGTGGATAGTTGAGCTCCTAAGCACAATGTTAACAGCTTTGTGAATATAGAATAGAATAGAATAGAATAGAATAGAATAGAATAGAATAGAATAGAATAGAATAGAATAGAATAAGAATAAGAATAAGAATTAGAATAGAATAGAATAGAATAGAATAGAATAGAATAAGAATTAGAATTAGAATAGAACAGAACAGAACAGAACAGAACAGAACAGAACAGAACAGAATAGAATAATAGAGTTGGAAGGGACCTTGGAGGTCTTCTAGTCCAACCTCCTATCTAGGCAGGAAACCCTACACCACTTCGGACAAATGGTTATCCAATCTCTTCTTAAAAACTTCCAGTGTTGGAGCATTCACAACTTCTGGAGGCAAGTTGTTCCACTGATTAATTGTTCTAACTATCAGGAAATTTCTCCTTACTTCTAAATTGCTTCTCTCCTTGATTAGTTTCCACCCATTTGCTTTGGAGAATAGCTTGGCTCCCTCTTCTTTGTGGCAGCCCCTGAGATATTGGAAGACTGCTATCATGTCTCCTCTGGTCCTTCTTTTCATTAAACTAGACATACCTAGTTCATGCAACTGTTCATCATATGTTTTAGCCTCCAGTCCCCTAATCATCTTTGTTGGTCTTCTCTGCGCTCTTTCTAGAGTCTTTAGATTTTTATTATCTTACCAGTAAAAAGCTCTTTTTCCTACATAATTCTCTGGAGAGCCTCAAAGGTTCAGCTGGGATGCTACGCGCTTGGAAAACACACACCCTGCAACTGAGCGCAACTTTCCCTAAGCTACCAAACATCATCAGCTCTGTTCAAATTAACCTTTTTCCTCCGATAGGCTGGAGCCTCATTTATAATTCACTGGATGGAGGAGGTCTGAGAAGGATCCATGCTGCCGGGCAATGAGTCCTGCACATGCAGAAACATAAACGCACACACACATACACACACACCATCCCCCCCTCCCCGCCAAGGCTGTCTGGAGGCCTCTCTGATAGCGCTTCCTCCATGGCTCCTGACGGATTAGATTGCAGAGAAAGGAATTTCGCTCTGGCGATGAGGGGCCTCGCACGTAGCCAGCCCTCCTCCTCATTCCCCGTTTCAGACACAAGTGGGTTTAATAAAGCCAGGCTGTCTGTGGATTGTGATGCTTTGTGAAACAAACAAACAAAAAAAAAAGGTGCTTTATTTAATTCTTAATTTTGGAATCGTTCCTCAGTACAGGTGAGCCATTCTTAACTGTAGTTGCAGTCTAAAGCTTTTTTCTCAAGCTTCAAGAATGCTAGAGAATTCACAGAAACCCGGTTTTTAAGACAGATCAGCCATCAACGGACACAGGGACATAAACAACATCTGCATACCGTTCAGAAGAGAAACTCAAAGAGCCAAAAAGGGAAAAACATAAAGACCAAAATACCTCCTCACCAGCTATTCACACCAAGCTTACTACTAGCTACACCAGGGGTCTACAACCTTAAACACTCAAAGAGCCATTTGGACCCATTTCCCACAGAAAAGAAAACACTGGGAACCACAAAACCCTTCCCGTGCCTGACTATTTCTTGAGTGGCCACAAAACTAGCATATGTAGTTGAATTAAACATCCTGTTTTCTTCTGAAACTTTTCTTTTCTTGGATTTATCCATGGTTGGCCTACTGGGGGTTGAAAAGCTCAATAAATCGCGTGTTGGTGGGTGTTGCACATTAGCGGTTGTGATGGATATTTTGAGTGACAGGGAGCCACAGCATAGGGCTCCAGAGCCGCAGGTTGCTGACCCCTGAGCTAGACCAACAATCAAGAAGTAAACAATGCCCCAAACAACCGAACAGCACACACAAAAGAGGTGGTATTCAGGTGGTTTAGACCGGTTCGGGAGAACCGGTAACCCACCCATTAGCCCGGATGTAATGACGTCCTATTTAGCCATGTTTTTGAGGCTGGGCACATGCGCAGAAGGTATGTGCGCAAGCAAAGTGCAGACATGGAAGGCTGGGAGCATGTGCGAAAGGCACGCATGCGTGCGGCGAACCAGTGATAAGAATATGTGAAACCCACCGCTGGTGCAGAGGTGTGCATGCTGAATTCAAAAAGGTAAAAGCAGAAGACCTCCATACATTATGATCAATTTCTCAAGCCCGGGAAGGATTCCCAACATGCTCCGATGCTCGGGAGCCTTTTTGGTAGAGAAAATACTGCGCAGAGGGCAAAGGTAACTGAGACAGCTCTCAAACCACATTCTAAAATCCTCTATTTCGGCTCCACACGCTAAACGCAAACTCCTGTGAGGACAAGGTGGAAGGGGAGAAAAAGACTGAAGATTTCAAAGGGCAAAATTAGCACCCTGGGAGAACCGTGCATCCTGGCTGAAAACTAATTTTAAATGCTGAGTTCAGAATACCCCCGGGGGTGGCCTTAACTACAGTTATTATCTGAGCTGTCGTTAGGAGGAGGAAAAAGAAAAGGGCACTCTGCAACTGCCTGCCTGGCCTCCCCAAAGGAAAGGCACCGTATAAATGTAATAAACAAATTAATAAGCCACTATTAGAGACAGTGGGATATCCGGGGGTTGCATTTCAGAAGACTGACAATGAACAATCCTATGGATGTATCTGCTTGTTGGTGGTATTTCTGGCAAACCCGAGAAAGGTGCTGTGTTTTGTGTGGGTATACGAGCATTGTAAATCCTGGCCTCTGGAATGTCTTTCTTTCTTCTGGGATGTGAAGCTGAGGTGGTATTCAGCCGGTTCGGGCCGGTTCATGCGAACCGGTAGTGGAAATCATGGGTGGGCCTGCCCACCCGCCCCGGCTCTATGCTGTCCTATTTAGGCACATTTTTGAGGCCGGGTGCATGCACGGAAGGCACACGAGTGAGCAACGCGCATGCATGGAAGGCCATGTGCATGCTCACATTTGCGAACCGGTAGGGAAAGTAAGTGAATGCTATCTGTGATGTGAAGCTAAGAGAAAGGAAGATATTCTATCAAGAGAAATGTTACGGCTTGTTGGAACCCATTACTTGTTCAATATCATGTCTTCCTCTTTCCCTTCCTTGCTTAGATTTAATATTTCATTTACGGTATCGAAAACGTGGTCAGGTTCATTTTCATCGTACTCATTCATTCATTCGATTCATACGCTGCTGTAATTAAACCAGACCTTTTGGCAGTTCACAATCCAGAACAAAAGATGGTAACCACGTAAACACTCATCCCCGGTTAAATAATAACAATTAAATTAATTATGGAAAGGAATTATAAACTAACAGTGTTCACTGCATATAAGGAAAATCAATATAAAATGCTTTACAAATGGCATATGCCCCCTGAAAAACTGGCAAAAATGTTTAAAGATAAATCATCTAAATGTTGGAAATGTCACCAGTTACCAGGTTCATATTATCATATGTGGTGGACATGCTCAGAAGCTAAAAACTATTGGAATAAAATTAAGATATGGCTGGAAGAAATGATACAACATATTGATTTAAAACCAGAGCTGTTCCTACTGGGTATCCTCCCAGAGAAAATTAGTAAAGAAAATATCTATTTGATTATACATGTAATAACAGCTGCAAGGATTGTTTATACACAAAATTGGAAAGCAGAGAAAATACCTTTGGAAGGAGAAGTAATTAAAAAAAAATTAGATCCTGCAGAAATGAATAGATTAACTTTGATGATTAAAGAAAGAGAGGATTCAAAATAATTTAAGATATGGAATCAATTTTACCATTGGTTAGAAAAGAGATACAAATAAGTAAATTAATAGTTATGTATAAAAATGCTACAGTTAGAATATTGTGTTAGTAAGAATTGTTGTAATGGACTTGGCAAGAATGAAGATAGAAAAAACAATAAAAAGAAGTTTTGGAGACAACACCGAGATGTCACATGGAAGGAATGACTGATCTATTAAATGTTTGTTTGTCTAAAAAATAATAATATTTTTTTTAAAAAAATATTTCCTCATTTGCTTCCTGGGTTTATACGGGTCTCCAGCCCAGAGGGATTAAAAGTATATCATATGCAATTGTGTTTTAAAGAGTAAGAGTGAGCAAAATGTTCAGGGGGCCCCTCGCCTCTCC